TGATTTGAAATTAAAATATTTTTAAATTTTAAAAGTACATTGATAAAGATTAAAAACCAAAAAGTAAAGAGTTAAGTCTTAAAGACTAAAGTGAAACACTATTTCTGGTTTCTAGAGTAAAAAATAAAAATAATCCAGAACTCAAAAATAATTAAATAATTAAATAATGTATAATACTATAATTTATTTCCGTTTTTGTTTTCGTTTTTTGTTTTGTTTCGTTTTCGTTTTATTACTTGTTTTCATTTTTTGTTTTGTTTCGTTTTCGTTTTTCATTTTTTTCCGTTTTATAACGTTTTTTAAAAACATTTTCCATCCCTGATAAAAACGTTGGTTTTTTAACAGCTTGAAACCATGTAAAAAAATATTTTGAAAAAAGTAAATACCTTTCGAGATAATTAGTGTACCCACTTAAAATAATCACCCTGTAGAGACGCTTGTTTTACAGAATATAATAACGCCTGTACGGTAGGTGTCTTATCTTATATATTTTGTTTATGCGCGAAAAGACTATAATATACGAGTAGTATCGAACCCGCCGGGAATTTAGTTTTGAACTTGGCTCGTTCGAGTTAAGTAGTGTGCACGTAGATCGTTTACTRTTAACTGTTCTTAACTACCTATGTTATTGTAAACTAGTTGAAATGTTTCTAATCAATAGTATAAAAGCGTTGCAGAATAAAACTTGATCATTATTRTCTATGACATTAAGGACCCGTTTTACAATCATATAGTTTAAACCGCTGTATACCAATTGAGTCCCTATACCTGAAGGGGAAAAAATTGTATACTAATTGAGTCCCGGGTACAAACGAGATATATACTAATTGGGTCAGGGGTTAGGAAACTAATAGTATACGAATTGAGTCTGAGGATTATTTTGAGTAAAATATAAAATCGACCGTCCGAGTCGAGACAAAGCGGAAATTATGCCGCACAGCCGTGTATTTTATAAAAGATAAAGAAAAAGAAATTCAACATCAAATGCAGCTGTTGCAATCAAACAAAATAAATAGATTTGAATAATATGTAGGTACAATGCTTGTCCCATAAATTTTTACCAATATAAAGAATTATAAATTATTATCATTTTCTATATTTATTACATTTTACACAATTAATAATTCATACTGTATTATACCCCTATACGCATTATTATATATTTACGAGTATATTATAAAATATT